TATATATATATGTCAATATATATATATATATATATATATATATGCAGGTTAATATGTATACATACATATATATATATATAAAGTTATATATGCTACCCCCTCTCCAAAACCCACCTGGGGTACTATATATATATACATGTTAGATTAGATCAAATTATATATATATATATGTGCATACAAATATATCTATATATATACATATATATATATATACATATATATATATATATATCCCAGGTGGAGATCAGACTCTAAGCTTCGAAACGATTGGCCCGAAACCTGGGACTTGCTGCGAGAACCTGTGAGGGCTCTTCAGAGAAGTGGCCCAAACTTTAAGAGGCCCTCATCCTGTCGTAAGCCATCCCCCAAGCTCTAGCCCTCCCGTTCGAGGTCCTTGAAACCCTAAATCTTGAACCCTAACCCCTAAAGCCTAAACCCTCAACAAGAGTGTATGCTAAACTCATGAAGCCCAGGATTTCGATAGAAGTCGAGCTACAGAAGAAATTTGGACAGCTCCAGCCAACTTCACGAAACTTAGAGTTTAGGTTTAGGGCTAAGGGCTAGGATGTGCTGTGCAAGATGGGTGGAAGACTTTGCCAAATTCCAACATTTCACCTCCCTGGCGTGACATGCACACAGCTGCTAGGGTCGAAGCAGCACGTTGACCCCTACGTCTGGACCGGACCTAAGGATTGAACCAAAACTGAGCTGCCAGGACAGGAACCTCACCAAACTCGTTCTCGATAATGGCGATCTTCTTCTCCCTCTGCTCCTGGAACTTTCAGCAAAATGTAGGACAGCATATGCACCGTCAATGCTGGCTGTCGGAGGGGTACTGGGCAAGACCTACCCAGTGGCGGGGGCAAGGACCCTGCATGGCACACGCTTGTCCGACACAGAGATTCGGCAACTGCACTACCTGTTGAACGGCGGTCACAACCAAGCTGCCAAGGCGGTAATCAAAAGCAGGATTCAAATTCAATGGGAGCCACATAGATCCTGAAGGATATAGTTTAACATCGTGGTCTTGCCGGCGCCAAGGAAACCTGCCGAGCGCTTGTGCTGGTTGCTCGGAAACGTGGAAGCAGCCAGGAAGATAGGTCCTCTACATCTTACAGATCGAAGCTGATCACCGACAGGGCACCTCTTGATGCATTCTTTAGTAACTTTAGTATGTACTCCCAAGGCTGCCACCACCAGATTTGCGCTGGCAACTACCATGCTACACCACTTATATAATCAGGTCTTGGCCCACAGCTACGCTGCACTTCCCCCAATCTGCTAGCCATCCAAGACCACTCCGGACTTTTTCTGGGCTCATGCTTTCGTAAAAGCCGGGCAGCCTCACACTGTCGGACGTTGGGTATGAGAATTCGTCTCGGATGCCTGACTTCGAGACCCTGGATCTTAAACCCTAGCACCGAACTTGAACCAGATACTAAAGTAAACTCCAAACTGCCATAAATCTTAGATCTTGAATTGAATACTATCCTGCACCCAAGCCTAAACCCCAACCTCAAAACACTAAAGCTGAAACGCCGAAACCTAAAATCCTAAAGCAACAACCCTAAAGCGAAATCAAACATCCTAAACCAAGAACCCCAACTCATAGACCAAAACCAAGCTCATTTAAACAAATCTTTGGACCCTAGATCTTTCACTGTCCCTGAACCCGAAAGCCCCGAAACCCTGAGCCCTAAACCCCCGCTAAACCCTAAACCCTAAAGCCTAAAGCCTAAGCCCTGTACCCTAAACCCCCAGAGCCCTGAGCCCTAAACCCTCCCTAAACCCAAAGCCCTAAGCCCTAAACCCTAAACCCCTAAAGCCCTGAGCCCTAAACCCTCCCTAAACCCTAAACCCCAAACCCAAGCCCTGAGCCCCAAACCGCAAAAAACAAAAACCTTTGCACCGACCCCTAACCTAAACCCTAAACCCCCCAAAGCCCTGAGCCCTAAACCCTAAACCCTAAACCCTAAACCCTAAGCCCTAAACCATAAACCCCAAAAACAACCGAGAGCCAGGAGCCTGTGAGGATGGTCACCGGGATCTTCTCTTCCTCGGGCTTGTCCATCCTTTCCAGGGCGTCGCTTCAGCTTGGGGTTTCGTTTGTAGGGTTTAGGGTTTAGGG